AATAGTACTAAAAGTTTTCTTTCACAAGTTCATTATGTTGTACTTGGGTTTTTTCTCCACTCAAGCAGTCAGGCTACACAAGGCATAAAAAGGCAACAAAATTCTTAATTTTTCTATTGATTTGTCTCTATTAACCTACTTTTATTTGTTAGTCAATAACTCTTATAATATAAAGTTATTTAATTATTTTAGTTCTTATAATTTAATTGGCCGAAAACTTGGACAATTTTTTTTTTCTTTTTAAATTCAATTTGGAGTAAAAGTCCAAATAGACTAACTGGACCAAACCAAACCAAACCAACTTGGTTTGGTTCGATTCGGTTTAAGAGTTAGTTTGAGTTGAAATTCACCCAAATCGACTAATTTGATTTTGGTTTTAGGTTCGAATCGAAACCAATCGAAACCAATATGCGCCCAAGCCTAACTATGATCGATAAATTCTCAAAATTCTCAAAATAAAGAGAATAAAAAGAAAACAACGAACCAATAATATAAAGATAAGGCAACAAAATCAAACATTAAGTAGACAAGGCAACAACAATATAATTTATTTAATAATAAGCAAACAAAGCAACAAAAATCTAATTTAAAATTGACCTGGCAAGTCAACAACGATTCAATAATAAAAAGATAAGGGTTACAACAATCTAACAAATAAAAATTAATAAGACGTTAAGACAACAGAATAAAACCAATACAAAATTAATAAATGAGAAAGTGTAATCCAAGAGTGGTATAAATTTGAGTGCGGAATTTGAACAACTAGAAATAAGCTATCATGTTTGAAATCTATCAATACAAGTATAGTAAAATTTGTGTCAACGAATTCATTAGGGGTGCCTTTTTAAGGCAACAAAATCAAACATTAAGTAGACAAGGCAACAACAATATAATTTATTTAATAATAAGCAAACAAAGCAACAAAAATCTAATTTAAAATTGACCTGGCAAGTCAACAACGATTCAATAATAAAAAGATAAGGGTTACAACAATCTAACAAATAAAAATTAATAAGTCGTTAAGACAACAGAATAAAACCAATACAAAATTAATAAATAAGAAAGTGTAATCCAAGAGTAGTGTAATTTTGAGTGCGGAATTTGAACAACTAGAAATAAGCTATCATGTTTGAAAGATGTTTGAAATCTATCAATACAGGTATAGTAAAATTTGTGTCAACGAATTCATTAGGGGTGACTTTTTTTTTTTCTACAATCAGTGGAATCGGATGGAATTGGTTGGTTCATTTTCGGCTTCTCTATTCAATGGATTGATCTTAGGACCATGCATCAAGAACCAATCGATTTCGATCCGATTCTTGGTACTACCTTAAGAACAAATAGTGAACTCGGTTCTCCCTAATTTCTCTTTTTGTTGGTATGTTGCACAAATATGCACCAAATATTTGAATACTAGATCCTAAAGTTATCTTACGCCAAAATTTCACTTTGCATACACTTCTTTTTCTTCTTTATTTTACATAAATAACTTAATCAATATTTATATCTAAATAATTTTATAAATACTTTACAAAAATTCATAGCTTAATGCAACCTCAATGAGCAAATGTATATTTTTAGTCCAATCTTTCATAAGAACTCAAATTTCTTGTTGTTCATAATGGTCGATCATGAGAATCAAGACCTTTTCCTTGAAGATTATTGGAGACAATCACATTATAAATATTATACCCATTTTTTAATATATATTGCTGCATGAATATTTTTAAAATTAATTTTTGATTCAGCTTTTATCATTTTTTATGTCCTTGTTAATTGATCTTGAATCTTCAAGTGCATTTTTATTTGTTGTCTTATTTAATTGATTTTTATATTATTTGATTACAAAGATTGATAAGTAATTTTAACTCTATTTTATTTATTTTAAATTTGACAAGTAGTTTAATACTTTGTTTTGGTAAAAATTTTAATATAAAGAATTGGACCGAACCAAATCAAAACCGATTGGTTCGATTTCGGTTCACTTCTATAGTTATATATGGAACTAATGATTTCATAACTAAGATTCCCATTGGTTCTCGATTTGATTCGATTCCGAAGCCACACCTAGAATTCACGGATAAGTTAATTGGGCAATACGGTTCCCTGATGATACACATGGACCAATAAGACTTTGCCACAATATGTGTTATTTTAATTTGAATTCTAGCTTTTATTTAGAGCTTTTGATTTTTTTTTTCCAAGATTATTTAAATATCACGGAACTTAAAATTGAACGCACATTTGTTTCATTCGCATTTACAAAAATTTATAACTAGTATCCATCATAAAAAAATAAATTCGATTAAACTTATGACCACTGTGCTTTATATTGCTTATCCATGTGCTCTCCACCCTGACTCCTGAGAGGCACATACTGCGATTTACCTCCTCCACGATGGCCCAGGGCAGGGTCGGTGGGGGCCCTTAAGGTTGGGGTTCAACCTTTTTTTAGTATTATCATTGTCACCTAGATTGATTTTGATTCATCATAGCCATGATTACCTAACTTCATATAATATTTGAGTCAGGGCACCTAATTATTATCACCAAAAAAAAAACTAAAAAAAAAAAATCACAAATAATTATTAAAACAACAAAAAAATGATGAAAATCAGAAACAAAAATAAAATAACAAACATCATGGTGTTCCTTACAAAAAAATAAAAATAAATAATTAATTATATGAAAGCAGAAACAATTTTTTTTTTCTGCTAACACATAAAATATATAATAAACACACACACACACTTTCACACGCACAGAAAATTTAATTAAAAAAAAAAATCACTAACCCAGATTAGGAAAAATCATATAATATAAAACAAATCCTAATCAAGAAAATAATTTATTACGTAAAAAAATCCACTAACCCAAATTAAAAATTTATATAATGTAATCAAACACAAATCAAGGGGGGAAACTGTTTGTGCTTTCATTTTTTTTTTTTTTTTTGTGGTAATAATCGTGACTTAACTGAAATGCTATATGAAGTTGGGTGCTCATATTGAATCAAAATCAATTTGAGTGATCATGATGACAGTAAATATAAAGTACACTGACATGGTAAATCAAAATCAATTTGGGTAGTCTAGGTAACACCAAGGTTAAAATACGGTAATTATGGGTGGATTTAACCCAAATATAAACTCAATTCTAAATTGGCAAATACTAAATAGAATATTTTTTATGACATAAATACCATTTCACCCACTCCTCGAAGGATTGGAAAGAAAAATCAAAATGACAGATGCCGAAACTATCGGGGGAAATGTTCCATAAAATCCAGAAAAATGTTTTCAATGAAAATATGGTTCTGTATCGTTTAAAACCTTTTGAAAACAGTGGGTGGGACAGAAGAAAAAACAATTCCTCCCGTGTTTCTAAACAATCAAGCCATTTACGTATCCATACATTTCAAATTCTATTAACTTATTCATCACTCTAAGGGCCTGTTTGATTCGGCCGATTTTCCATGGAAAACAATTTTCATTTTCCATTTTCCACCTTTCGACGTGTTTGATGGCAAAAATTTTCTTGACAAATTTTTTTCCTTTATTCCCCACACATGTGCAATTTCCTTGATTTTGTGGAAAACCATTTTCCACTAAACCCATGTGAGCCCTTTTTTTATTATTATTTTTTTACAATTGGAACAAATTCTATCTCTAATTGTAACAAATTTTGTCTTGTTAATTGACAATTTTTATGAAAAATAAAGCCAAACGAACACCAAAAGATAAAAAATTTCAACATTTTTCAGGTGAAAAATTATACCTATCAAACACATTAATTGACAATTCTCAAGAAAATAAGTTCGAAGTAATTCAATTTTCTAATATTCATTTTCTTTCCATCCAAATTCCTGAAAACCGTAGGTGGAACAAAAGCAAAACAGTTACCCTCGTGTTTGTGTTATCAAGCCTTTTTGAATTCTAAGATTCTTTTTGACTTAAAAATAATATGTACACATTGAGTCCCAACAAGCCTCATTTAATTGTAGATGAATGTATATATGTATGGAAAATGCTGTGTTACACGGCTTTACACTCCCTTCACATAGAAGGGGTCCACGAATATTTTACTACATGTGAAGGGGGTGTAAAATCGTGTGTACACCATTGTGTACACACAGCACAACCCATATATGTATTGACTCCAAAATTAGATTGCGATTCGTGTAAAAATTGATTTCGTAGAAGAATTTGATCAAAATATGAAAATCATATTTTCTGCCCAAAATCGTACCATGCGATCGCACCCTTGTTTGGGTTGCGACCGCATACCCTTATAATTTTGCTTACTGGTCATCCATGTTACAAACGCAAGGGCATAACTTTGCTCCGTGTCTATTTTGATCCTACAACTTCTCTTAGTTTGGCTTGAGCCCTTTTTTATTTTCATCTTTAGTCCTCATCTTTGAATCTTCATAATTAGGTCATCATCATCCTAAAATTGTCCATAATAAGTTCCAAAAATTTGCATTCTAATCCTCAAACTTTTCAATTGTTTGATTTAAATTCCAAAACTAGTGATTCTCATCTTTAGTCCTCATCTTTGAATCTTCATAATTAGGTCATCATCATCCTAAAATTGTCCATAATAAGTTCCAAAAATTTGCATTCTAATCCTCAAACTTTTCAATTGTTTGATTTAAATTCCAAAACTCGTGATTCTCCTCCAATTGCTCCCTAAATTCATCATATTGAACAATCATGATTCTCCTCCAATTGCTCTCTAAACTCATGATTTTAATTTCACATTTTTAAAGCCAATTTCATTCAAGTGCATTCAAATGGGAAACAATTAACATATTTTACACGAAATTAAATAGACATTCACTCAATTTGTCAATAAATAAGCAAGAATAGAAGTCTAAATAAGTGCATAATATACACTTATCAAGGTGCACGAAGGGTCAATATAAATGTCTGGTTCTTAAGCTTATTTAACTTCAGAAGGCACTGGATGTAAGTTGGATTGCCCAAAAATAGTCAATGTTGATATTGAAAGACTTGAAATTTGTTCTTGTTCTTGTTGTAATAGTTCTCATTGCTTAGCAACAAACACAGGAGGTTAAGTTGTCCAGCATATATATTAATGTCACTAGTCAACATTTTTCTGCCCTTTCTGCTCCTATAAGAGGTCATCGGGCATTTTCATTGAGAAATTGTTAGCCGGAGAAATCTATTCCCTAAAGGCTAAATCCCCCCTCTACTTCTACAAAATCTTCAAGAACCCTCATGGAAATCCTCACCTAGTCTGAGTGATTTCATTTACAGCAATGGAAATTCCCTTTCCGACGCTGTAAAAAGCTCGAAGAAATGAAAACATTATTCTGTTTACTCAAAGAAAGTGTCTAATAGTAAGGTTACATTGGCTTCATTGAATGGATGCCAAATTCTTAGTCATACCTTATCTGATGTATAGTTTTTCCAGAGCCTGTTTCCATCAATATTTGAGCTGCAACCTGAAATTTTACCAATTATAGAAATTTTCATAAATTTCCAACAAAACTCTCAAACAATACCACCAATTAAAAAGCCTAAAAGGAAAGAATGACATCAAATACCATTAAAATCAAAATTGAATGTTCATCATGAGGATTCTCTAGAATATGACAGATGAGTATGACATTTCTCCCATGAGAATAAATGACTTGTGATCTAAATAGAACAGTATCTAGGGAAGCACTATACGTTTCATTTGTAGATAATGAACTTCATGAAAAGAAAATATGGCCAGAAAGTCTCTAGCAATGGATATAATTACAGTATTTTGTCTTCACCAAGCTACATTCCATGAAAACTTGCTAGTTACGAACATAATGCTAGGAATGGTGGGACAAAATGAAGAATGAATTGGCAATGTAAATAATTGTTAATCAGATTCTGTATATTTCTTAGAATTGTGCTAATAAGAAAAACTTGTGCATATCTAAAAACGTGTAACCATGAAGATATTTTCCCATTCGATTTGTCCGGAATCGAAGCATAACATAATACTAAATTTAACATACTTCTCACGCTCGCTCAATTAGTTTACATCATGTTTTTGCATTTTCCTTGTATAAGATAGTAGGATACTTGCTGAGGAAAAAATAATTATAATAGAGAATTTCAAGGTAATTGAAATACCTTTACATTAATGTCATTTATTTCAAAACTAAAATTAAAAAAAAAAATTGACTTTCCATATAAAGAAAAACAAAGATACCTCTCCACCATTAGTGCCCCCCTCATAGCATGGTTTCAGACTAACTGCACGTTCAAGATATGGACTCCAGTGTCCAGTGAGTAAATCCAGTCTAATCATCTCAACACCACCTTGATAGAACTGATAAGAAGGACCAAGCATTCATTAATCCAGAATGATAATATATATTCTCAAACGAGAGAGAAAGAGAAAAGAGACAATAAAACGAGACGAAAAGAGAATAATATATTTACAAGAAGTTGGATATACCAAAGGATGTGGATAGAACAATCATCAACGAGAAGAAAGAGCAGCAATGAAATCTCACCTCAAGCATGTTTCTCAGAAATGGTTCTTCATTGAAGTAGTCCCTATGCACAAAGACAAATGGTACCTTGTATGACAAGGCCTCACTAACCGTTCCATATCCAATTTTTCCTGAGATATTATAATTTATAAGGCTGCTATAATTAATAAAAAAATACGTAATTTAAAATAAAAATAAAATACTACAAGGATGCTATGAAAACCACTTGATGTCAAAACAAAGTCAGCTATGCAGAAAGATTTATTAACTAACCAAGCATGCAATCAGATGCAGCAATCAGATCAGGAGTATACGAATCTTTTGCTAGCTTCACAAAATTTGGAGGAAGGTTCTGACTTTCAGAAGAACCACAAACCTAAATCCAGGAAGAAAACAACATTTAACCCTCGATGATAGAATATCTCAGTACACTCTACCCAGCACCCAACAGTAAAGCATAAGATACCAGGCAAAGCCAACCGGGAGGCAGGTACTCTTCCCTTAATATCCAGCCGGACGGCTGCAAATAGTGACCGTCTTATAATGTATTCAAAATGAAAGCTAAACCTGAACCAGTCAGTGCAACGACCCCCTAAAAAGCATCCAATAAAATCTTCATAAAATGACTGTGCAGTTACCTGTCCACCAAAGTTGAGGATAACAACCTTCACATCCTCTCCAATACCAAGTTCTTTCCTCACCTAGACATGATAAAAAAATGAACAATTTACATTTTACACAATAAGTAAATATACCAACAATGCCATTAATAAAATTCTATAGAAAATTTTGCCCCCGTTTGAGTTAACAAAAAATGAATTTTGTAATATTATTTTTTTGAAGATTGATTGTTGAAAAGTACGAAAAAGTTTTGATTTTATGTGATAATTATTTTATTGGAAGTATGTGTTGTTGAAAATGAGTTTGAGGAAAAATGTGTTTTGAGATAATGGGGCTCAAACAAGGGCTTTATATCATGTACCTCCTCACGGGACTTGTGCAATCTCCTCACCACCAAAGGCACATCAATTGAATCCCGGAATGCAGGCACTGTAGTGTTTACCAACCATCTTTAGATTTGCTAAGGCAAAAATTAAGAGCAGAAGAACAAAAAGATCATTGGTAATGAGACGTGTTGGCATACTTGGGCAGTATCCAGGGAGACGGATAAGAAATTCACAGTGAGAGTAATCCTCCGCAATCTGCATCGACAATAAAATGACCTCATAATGAATAAAATGACCACCTAATGCCAAAATATTTTATGAACAGAAGAGCAAGGAATGTAGGAAAATGTTAAAATGATTTCCAACAAAGTAAATAAATACAGAAAGGTGGTGTAACTCAAGAGAAATCGGAAACAATCCCAACCAAGAAAATATCAAAGTATTTAGGAACATTCCTATGATGAGAAGATGAAGGGCTAAAATTGATTTGACTGCTGCAGACGGTTGTTTCACTTATTATATTTTTTCCCCCAACATGGCATTCAATAAAGACAGAAAGATGCTTCAATAACTGCAGGACCCTGCTTTTCCTTGTGAAGGACCAGATTAAGCTAAAACATGTTACTCTTTTCCTTTCTATTATAATTTCTAGTTAGAGCTGGTAGAATTTTGAAAGGTAATGGAAAGGATGGTGGACAGTTCTAAACACTTTTGCAAGTATTAGATTTCAATGGTAACAGCCCCCGCTTACCCCTACACCTACCCGGCTACCCCTCCCACCCCAACCCCCAATCACCAGCCCCAATTCAATGGTGGCATTTAGTTTTCAATGAATACTAGAAACCACCTTTACTTATTGTTACTATTACTTTATCTTCTTTCTAAAGTAAATCACATTTTTAAATATTAGTATACTACTAGCATCTCCTCCACTTTCTTGCACCCAGTTTGTATTACTAATTACCCTTGTTAAATATGTTTTCCCCCTAACTCAACATAAGCATGAACAATATTTCCCCTTGAGGGAGCTATATGGAGTGTTAGTGCTAATCTCCTTTGTTAGTGATCTCCTGGAGGTGTGGATATAGTGATGGCCCCAGTATAGAACAAATCATTGAACTGGAGGCAATGCCAGCTTATTTGTTTAAAAGGTGACAACATCAGAAACTTTTCTTCTGTTCACAAAAACAAATAAACTGTAATCGGGTTCAGATATCTAAAACTTGGTTGACAAAATTCGACTGAGTTATGCACCTCTTTCTGTCCATGTTTACTAAAGGACAAAGGCAGGATATAAGTTTTATGGTGTTGGCATCCAGATTTAAACATCAGAGAGTAGTCCTCCCTCAGTTCCCTGTGCACTTACCAAATGTCTCTTCGCAGTTTCAGGAGAAAGAGGGCAAATATTAAAAGCAAAATCTTACTAACATCAGAATTCCCACATACATTTGATAGAGCAGGTATAATATAAAATGAAAACCATGAGGAGAGGGAAATATCAGGGTGAAAGTTGAAGGATGATCCAGACAGTCAGAAAAGACTTGCTTCAAGAAAATATCAACAGTTTGCAATAGTATTTCACGCTTGCAAGTTTGTTTTATAAATCCTTAACCCAAACGTGTGGGTTTCAACTACGTCATATAGTCCAACTAATGCATCTTAATTTATAATTATATGGAAGCTACCTTAAACTAATATATTGATGCAGATCAATAATAGCAAAAGAACGCACAAACATTTATGACAACAGTCAGCTTTGCTAAATTCACCTGCCGCACTATTGAATGCATATGATATTCAGCTACCGTTATATATTCAGCGTAGATGGTGTCCCAACTGCCAATGGAAATAAACATTTTCTACTACTCAGAAACTTTGTATGGAAAACAAGACAAATGTGTTGATAGAGACAAATTCATATAGAAAATAATTCAGGCTTCAACCATTTCCATTCTAACAATCTTTCATTTTCCTTGAACCATATTTTGGGAATTGAAGAAAGAGAGAGGGGATCACCTGAAATTGGCGACACAAACCGAGCGAATTCCAGCATCAGCTGCTGCTCGACAAGCAATTGGAACAACATCTGAGACCTGAATGCATAAAAGTGAAAAACAAAAAACGAATAAAGAAGGTCATTTTGAAAATCAAAATCATGTCAGTGCCCCGCATCAGGAAAGCATAAAAGCTGATAAGTCTTTTCTTAGGTTGGAATCTCTAGAAAGCAATGGGAAAAAAACAAAATATTTAATTGTTGAAATGTCTTGTTTATTAAATTTTGTTTTATTTTCATTCTATAACTAAACAAAAGGTGCATTATCAGTGAAGCTATGATTTAGTTTATTATAAGTTACTTGATTTCATGCAGACTGAACATCCACATTCTAAAACACGTAAAAGTTTAAAAGCTGAATGTGTTAGCTTTTACCTTTTCTGATCATATTTCTCCTATTCTCCACACGCAAATTATAAACAACTAAATGTCTACAATTAAATTATCATATTACGGCCTGGTGCTATAAATGAAGGCCAAACAACGAAAACTTCAACTTTGTAGTATATGAAATAATTAAAATGATATTTTTTACCACTAAATCCGCCTTGATGGATTTCAGCCACTCCACTTCTTTCGCCAAAATAGAATCACGCGGAACTATGGCTGTCTCAGAATACTAAATCAACCAGCAAAAATCTAAGTCATATAAAGAGCAGGCAATTTGTTTCATGATATTTATTTAAAGCATTGCTTAGTTGTTTGATTATCAGTCAGTCAGACCTTCTCCAGAGAAGCAAGGCGATCAACCGTCAAAGCATCTGCTTGAATTGCGCCACAGTCTAAGAGCACCTAGAATTGCAGAAAATTTGTATTTAAACTGAATGACACAGCAAAAAATGAACATATCTTAAGTAAAAATCTTTTGTCATGAAGCATTTTCCAATAAATAGAGAAACCTTGCGGATGAAAAGACGAGGAGACTGTATTTCAGTTGTGAAAACGTAGTCTGGTGCACCAGTGACCACGTGAACATCATGTCCAGCCAGGATGAGATGTCGAGCAACCTAAGGGCATGCAGGAAATTCAAATTGGTTACCAAATAGCATATGCAAAGTAGTGAGTATATATTCACCATATTAGCAGATGAGATGTCAAGCAACCTAAGGGCATGCAGGAAATTCAAATTGGTTACCAAATAGCATATGCAAAGTAGCGAGTATATATTCACCATATTAGCAGTTTCTTACTTTAAGAAAGAGATAGATCCGTCTTAGAAGCAGGCTAATGAGGACTAAATAAATTTGTAAGATTAATAAAATCAATGATGATTTGACAAGTTCCTAAACTAATACACCCCTTTCGAAGCTGTAATGGCGATGAAACCATATAAGAAAAATTGATAAATATACAGCCACATTATATGCTTACCGTGATAATGAAAGGAACAAAGTACAGCTGAAATAATTTTAACATAATTTAACAAAATTTCATGTTTTAACTTAAGTAGCACCATATGAAAATTGAGATCATGAACATGAAAAGAAGTTTCTAGTGTGATTCTTTTGCAGTTTTGGAAAAACGTTTTAAGTTTTGAATGTATTGAAGATGATAAAATAAATGATCATCAATCTAATTTTCAATATTTCTTGTTAAAAATGAATGAAATCACGGCCAGGTATAATTTTATTTCTTAAACCCAAAACTTTATAAAATATTTTCAAGTAACCTCTCTGCAACAGATCCTGAAGGGCAATTCAATCAGATTTTGTTTCAGAATAAAGACAGTCCAATGTTCTACCACAATTATCCAGAAATGATTTGGCAAAGATTACAATAAGGAAGAATGAAAACGGCCAAGTAGTTTATATCCAACCAAAGCATTGGTACAGGAGCCTAAACTGAACACCCGATGAACAACTCTTGTAAATTCAGCATCAACGTTTCTTGTTCCCATTTTTTTTAATTATTATTAAAAGCTTTTGCCACTCATCCACTTAAAATTTACCTCCATGGAATGGATGTAAAGTTTTCTATCCATTTCCAACCCCTTTCTACCCCCATTAACTTCCATCATTTCTTCGATTTTTACTACAGCAAGTTTGAATCGCAGTCAAATAATACATTATGATCAAAATTATAAACAGAATTTGATCATCTAATAATGCCAAAAAAAAAAAAAATCATCTAAATACTTAAAAAGTAGTGTCAATGGCAAGCTAGATCTAAACAATTAAATGGACATTATCAATTATACTCAAAATGTGCTTCTCTTAAGTTTTACATCGTATTCTAGCTATAAAACAAACACGCACGCACTGAATCAAATTAAAATCATACATTTACATCAAAATCATAAAATAGGCTTCTCCAACTCCTATAAAACAAGCACATTCGATCCCACGGTCACACACTGAATTAAACCAAGGCATTTTGATCAATAATCTTGAATAAAACCCGAAGCTGAAATCATCAAAAAGTAGCGCATTATATCAAATGGGTTATCTATATAAATAGTGCAGAATCAGAGACAGATTATTAGAGAAAGAGAGAGTTCGATGAACCTCAACAACGCGGGTTGCATGGCCAAAACCATGGCCTGTCACATAATAAGCGAAGACAAGAGGATGCTTTATTGAATCCTCGGAACCCATAATTCCTAGGCTTCAACTACTTGAAAATGGGAAATTAGTTTTGAATTTTTACTGCAGGGTTTTTAACTTTTAAGAATAAATTTGCATCTCACATGTCTGAAAAAAAAAATAAATAAATAAATTTCTGGCGCATCTCACATGTCTGAAAAATAATAATAATAAATAAATAAAAATTAAAAAATTCAATCTCAATTCTACCCGTTGAAAATTTCATTTACCAGTTCAGTCCTCATTTTGACACCTACTTTGAATTGGCAGTTTGGTATTTTGGGGGATAAAATAGGCAAATTACAAATAGCCTTTTTAAAGATGTGCTTTTGTGGAAAATATTCTTCCGTTGACAGTGGGTCCACGTCCAAGGTAGAAGAAATTGGAACTGGCTGAAAAAATGTCAAAAGGAACAAATCATTACGAGAATGTATAATTAAATATAGGAGAAAATTTACATACAAAATATTTTATTGTGTGAATATGTTGAAATATTTTTTTGAAAAGCATGATTGTCAAAGTGAGGCTTCTTAATTTTTTTTAATCTCGCGTTAACAGCGTGACACTTTAATAAGGGATCAATATATAAGTTTTAGTGCTAAAGATTACATTTCATAAATAACAAACTCACTAAAATATTTCAAAAATCAGGTGGTAAATAAATTTATTAAATATTAAAAGCCCGTTTGAGTCCCATTATTTTCTAATAATGCATTTTAGAATAGCAAATCGATAGAGAATGCGAGATTAACAAATAAGGAAAAGTTTTAGGTTTGTAGATAATATTATTTTATTGAAAAATATGTGATTGAAAATAGAAGAGTGAAAATGTATTTTAAAAAGAATGGATACCAAACAAGGACTAAATTATAATATAATATATATTAATTATTTTCATCCCATGCCATCTCACCCCACTATACCACCTTTCCTCCACCCCTTCGCCGGAGATAGCCATCAGCTCCCACAACTGCTCCAGCAATTGCGTCGGCAAATTGCTCTGATGACCACTCCGGCAACATTTTTTTTAACCAATGACCCGTGATTAGTTCTATTGGGTTTGTAACCTGTGCACATTGTGACATATGAAATATGACTTGTAAACCATGAATGTTACCTGTGACTAGTAACATAAAGTGTGACATGTAAATTTGATCCGTGACTTTTACAGAACAACATAAAACTTGTTTATATGGATTTGTGACCTATACAAAATGGCCGTGACTTGTGAATTCAAACATGTGACCAGTGAATTGTGACTTTAACGACAAATTGTGACATATAATGTATGAATCGTGACTTGTGATTAGTAGCATATGTGACTTTAATAATGATATATGATCTATGAATTGGCTAGTGATCAAGGCAAATGACCATGTGACCAACTGCATCATCACCACTCCATCCTACATGCACTATCACCACCTCTTCACGACCTATGCCCATTACTACCATTTCACCGGCTGTGCCCATCTGAATCTCACACAACCACAACCAACCACCCAATAACTAACAACCCCAACCAACATCACAAATACAACCACTTGTAACCAGAGAAAATAGAGGAAAGGACCACTAGCACCACCTTCACCTAACCATCACTGCTAGCGTCACCACCTCTTAGCCAAACCACATATACAAAAATCAAAAGTAAAATCAAAACCACAACATACTGGTAATAAATCCAACAACCTGAGCTCCATCTCCAACCATCACATACAATCTGAACTCCATCTCTGGTATTTGAAGTTTGTCGGCGGTGATGTGCTACCAACAGATAGATGGTGGAGATGTGCTGCCGATGATTAGATAAATGGAGAAGGGGAATGGAATGAGAGAGAGCCGCATGCAACAGCAGGTAAGTCCGTTTCACGGTGATGGAGCGCGGTGGCAGCGCAAGCAGAGCCACACGAAGCGATGGGTCAGGCACCGCACAACTGCCACCACCATGTTGGTGAGTCCAGTACAGTCCACCGCCTACGTTAATTACCACCACTAAAGTCGGCTACGTCTTTCACCACCACTAAAATCCACTTTAATAAAGTCCACACATAAATTCTCACTTCCTCCACCTCCAGTACAACTACCACCACTAATTAGACTAGAACATAGAAAGGGGTGGGATGAGTGGAGATAGTAATCCCTCCTTATCCTAAAAGAGAGAATGTGAGGTTTACTATTCATTTTTGTCACATTGATTTTCATATTAAACTGGTTTGGTCCTTTGAATCTGACACACAATACTCCATTTTTTCATGTTATCAACTATTAACCATATCTTATAATTTTATTAGTAGTAATATTTTTTAAATAATATTTTTGTCACACTGTAGCTTTTCTTTTTTTAATTGGTGGAACAAAAACGACGTCGTTTTCTATTTTACCTGCAACTTACATGTTTTGAATCTGACACACTATACTCTTTCTCTATTTTCTCACGCTATCAACAATCAACCATATCCTATAATTTTATTAGTGATAATATTTTTTTAAATAATTTTTTCATAAAACCGATTCTTTATTTCTAAAATGTAAAAAGTTACTTATAATTAAAAAGATCACTTCAAGTTATTTAAAAGTAAAACGAACTTATAATTGTAAAAGCTATTTATAAGTAAAAAAAATATTAACTTAAAATTTTTTAGTATAAATATTTAGATATATTTAATTTTTTAAATTAAATATTAATAAACAGATTATACTATCTAGAATGTAAAAAGTTACTTATAAGTAAAAAATCACTTCAAGTTATTTAAAAGTAATAAAAAAACTTATAATTGTAAAAGCTACTTATAGGTAAAAAAAATATTAATCATTCCTTCTCTTATAATTGCAAAAGTTATTTATAAGTAAAAAAATCTTAATTTAAAATTTTTAAGTATAAATATTTAGATATATTTAGTTTTTTAAATCAAATATTAATAAAAAGATTACACTCCATCACCTGTGCATGCGGCGTCTTTTTCTATTTTATAACCTGCAGCTTACATGCTTTGAATTTGACACACAATACTCTTTCTCTATTTTCTTACGCTATCAACTATCGACCATATTCTATAATTTTATTAGTAATAATATTTTTTAAAATAATTTTTTACATAAAAATTATTCTTTATTCTTAAAATGTAAAAAGTTACTTACAACTAAAAAGATCACTTCAAGTTATTTAAAAGTAAAATGAACTTATAATTGTAAAAATCACTTATAAGTAAAAAAATATTAACTTAAAATTTTTTTAAGTATAAATATTTGGATATATTTAGTTTTTTAAATTAAATATTAATAAAAAATTACACTATCTAGATTGTAAAAAGTTACTTATAAGTAAAAAATACTTCGAGTTATTTAAAAGTAATAAAAAATTTATAATTGTAAAAACTATTTATGGGTAAAAAAAATATTAATCACTCATTCTCTTATAATTGCAAAAGCTACTTATAAGTAAAAAAATATTAACTTAAAATTTTTAAAGTATAAATATTTAGATATATTTAGTTTTTAAATTAAATATTAATAAAAAGATTACACTATCTAGAATGTAAAAAATTACTTATAAGTAAAAAATCACTTCAAGTTATTTAAATAATTGTAAAAACTACTTATAAATAAAAAAAATATTAACTTCAACATTTTAAGTAAATATTTAGATATATTTATGCACTGTTTGAGCCACATTTTTTCAAAAAAATAAATTTTTAACAGTGATTTGATATCATTTCAATCACACATTTTTCAATAAAATAATATTACACGCAAATCCAAAACTTTTCCTTATTTCTTAATCACACATTTCCTATCAATACACTATTCAAAAATACATTTTAATTCCAATAATGTGGCTCAAACAAGGGCTTTAATTTTTTTAGATTAAATATTCATAAAAAATTACTATAAGTAAAATTTTAAAATATATATATATATATATAGTAATGGAGTGAGAAATCACTCCATGCACGGAGTGATAACCATTCTGTGCACGGAGTGATAACAAATTTTGCGTTTTTTTATTATTTTTATTTTTTTCCTTTCTCGCTTCTTGGAGAATTTTTTTCGTTTTTATTTTCCTCATCACGCAACTTTACGAGATACAAAACCAAACCTAATATCTTCCATCTCTTTCTTTCTGTCACGCTACAATCACATTCCACGACGCCTCTTCTATATTTTTTAGCCAAATTGTTGATAGTGAGCAATCGATCAAAGCTGACGTTTTTCTTCTTGTTGACCACAATTGGTTAGTCTTTTTCTGTGATCTAAGAAATTTTTTAACCCATATTTTTTCAATTTCTTTGAATTTTAGGATATTATGTTTTTTTTCAATAATTTTGACAATATGAGTTTTTCTCTACAATTTGGTGCTTTTAAGTGTAATTGTGTACATGTTCATATGTTTGAAGCTGATTTCCTAAACCTGCTTTTTTTGGGAAATGAACTGTGATATTAGAATAATTTAGTCTTAATGGTGTTAGCAGAGCTAGAGTTCAATCCAGCATTCGCTCAAGCCTCGTATCTGTGGATGGCCGGGTCATCTGTAACGAGACTTATGATTTTATTGCTGAGTTTTTTTAAATATCAAACGATATTCTTTTTTCTTTGTTTGTCTGCGTTTTGTGTAGAATTTAAGTGGTTAATTTCGTACTTTTCATAAGAAACTGCTATGCAGTTTTTTCTATGATATTGTGCATCTTTTATAATAATCTTTTCCTATTTTTGATCAGGAATTTTGATGCTTTTGTAATCAAGTTAAAACGAAAACACAAGTACTCGTTGGGGATCCAAAAGAAAATATTATGCTCTGTCTGGAGACTTAGTACTTTCAGATTTTAATTCTTATTGTTGGTTTGCTTCCCAATCTTGAAATTGTATTGGATTTCCTGTTTGTTTGGTAAGGCTGAATTTCATCATTCTCTTATCTACATCAAAAACCATTTCATGTTTTGAAAATTAACATAATTAGTTAATTAATTAACTTGTAGTGCCACAGTCTTTGGATGGGGTATTTATGATATCTGTGGGTTCCAATGCTGCTGCAAGGTATTTATGATATCCTTTATTTTCCCTTTTCTCATTTTCCAATGGTTTGCTAAG